GTACTTAATGTCTCAGTCTTTAATAGTAAGACCAGATGTTCTCTGAGTACCCAGCCCCCTGAGCTGGAAAACAAGGATGGGGAGCAGAATGAAGGCCCCATAACCTAAGGGGAGATGTTTAGCAACCTGCTGCACCAGTTCTATGGGGCCGGATGGGATCCACCCAAAGGTACTGAGGGAGCTGATGGAAGTGCTCACCAAGCCACTTTCCACCATTTATCAGCAATCCTGACTAACTGGGGAGGTCCCAGTTGACTGGAGGTTAGCGAATATGACTCCCATCTACAAGAAGGGCCCAAAGGAGCATCCGGGGAACTACAGGCCCATCAGCCTGTGCTTGGTGTTGGGGAAGGCTATAGAGCAGATCATCTTGAGTGCCGTCACGTGGCACATACAGGACAACCAGGTGATCAGGCCCAGTCAGTGTGGGTTTATGAAAGGCAGGTCCTGCTTGACTAACGTGATCTTCTTCTGTGACAAGGTGACCCACTTAGTGGATGAGGGAAAGGCTGTGGATGTTGTCTACCTAGACTTCAGTAAAGACTTTAACACCATTTCCCACAACATTCTCCTGGAGAAACTGGCTGCTCATGGCTTGGATGTGTGCACTCTTCACTGGGTAAAAAACTGGCTGGATGGCCGGGCCCAGAGAGTGGTGGTGAATGGAGTTAAATCCAGTTGGCAGCTGATCACAAGTGATGTTCCCCAGGGCTCAGTACTGGGACCAGTTCTGTTTAATTGTCTTCATCAGTGATCTGGATGAGGGGATTGAGTGCACCCTCAGTAAGTTTGCAGATGACAGCAAGTTGCGTGGGAGTGTTGATCTGCTTGAGTGTAGGTAGGCTCTACAGAGGGATCTGGACAGGCTGGATCGATGGGCCGAGACCCAACTGTATGAGGTTCAACAAGACCAGGTGCTGGGTCCTGTACTTCGATCACAACAGCCCCATGCAATGCTATAGGCTTGGGGAAGAGTGGCTGGAAAGCTGCCTGGCGGAAAAGGCCCTGGGGATGTTGGTCAACAGCTGGCTGAACATGAGCCGGCAGTGTGCCCAGGTGGCCAAGGAGCCCAATGGCATCCTGACTTGTAGCAGAAACAGTGTGGCCAGCAGAACTAGGGAAGGGATTGTCCCCCTATAGTCAGCACTGGTGAGACTGCATCTCAAATCCTGTGTTCAATGTTGGGCCCCTCACTGTAACAAAGACCTTGAGGTGCTGGAGCTTGTCCAGAGAAGGGCAACGAAGGTGGTGAAGGGTTTAGAGCACAAGTCTTGTAAGGAGCAGCTGGGGGAACTGGGGTTGTTTAGTCTGGAGAAAAGGAGGCCAAGGGGAGACCTTATTGCTCTCTACAACGACCTGAAAGGAGGTTGTAGCAAAGTGGGGGTTGGTCTCTTCTCCCGAGTAACAATCGTTATGGCAAGAGCAAATGGCCTCAAGTTGCACCAGGGGAGGTTCAGATTGGGTGTTAGGAAAAATTTCTTCCCTGAAAGGACTGTCAAGCACTGGAACAGGCTGTCCAGGGAAGTGGATGAGTCACCATCCCTGGACGTATTTAAACGATGTGTAGATGTGGCGCTTAGGGACGTGGTTTAGTAGTGGACTTGGCAGTGCTAGGTTAACAGTTGGACTTGATGTTCTTAAAGGTCTTTTCCAACCTAAACAATTCTGTTTTATCAGCTAAATGAAATGTTGAGATTCAAGAATTAGAGTACAACTGGTCTGTTCTGTTGCCAGGTGTGTTTGAATAAAAGTTAGAGAAGTTCAGTTCTCTCTACTGTGTTCCATAAAGGAGAAAACAGGAAGGTTCCCAACCTCCTCTGTCACTGAATTACAGTTCAGCTGGGAAGTTTGCCCTGCAGCTTAGTCTGTATTTGCCTCTCTTGCCGCTGGTATTAGTATATGCATTATATGAAACTGTTAAAGCGTAGTCTTGTCCACAATAACTTCTGGTGGGCATACGGGAGCTTGTAGAAAAGACAAATGTCAATAATCTGTTGCTCGCAAATGTTTAAGTGGATGAAACTTTTATGAATCTCAGCATTAACTTAGGTGCAAATATGCCTAAATTTCAGATGTTAAGATTGGTTCAGGAGCAATTATTGCCTCCAGTGGAAATCCTTAACTTGCCATAATGAATCTAGAGGAAGATGATTGCATTTGGGAATGTCAGCAGTTTATTCAGTCCAAGTCAGGTGTCTGCCTCCCTACATTGTATGGGGCAAAAGCAGTAAAATGCCAGAGCTAAACCTGCTTGTGATCCAATCAGCTCAACTTTATTTGTCAATAGGCATGCAACAAGGCAAAGATGGCTTTCATGTGAATGAAAATTATTGGCATCAATTCCTGCCTTCCTTTCATGTAACAATTTCTTTGTTAGAAGCAGTGCTCCACAAGTGGAAGATAGAGTAGAAGAGGCACTCCACACTTCCATGTTCCTATCAAACAGGTAAGGAAGAAGTGGAAAAACTTAATTTACTCCACGGTTTCTACAGGCTATTTTGTTGGCTCAAGACGTAAGCCAGGAAGGTTTTTTGGATTCCTCCTTCAGTAATACCTGCCTAGTTGTATTCCAGGTGTTTCGCTGAAGGTGAAGTAGTAGATGGCATAGACTTGGTATAAAAGCACAAGCTCTTATTACATGCTGTAAACATGCATAATATTGAAATGCACCTCTTAGTGGTATACTACGGTTTGAGTGTTTCAGTACAAAAATATATCACTGCTACTGTTTCTAGTCAGTTAATGAAAGTAGATGCGTGTGATTCCTCATACAGTGGTGAGCTGCTCTTGAGCTTCAACTCACACATGAACGTAACTCTGAAAAAAAAAATACCTGTGGTGAGCTGTATCTCTGCTGTGTTGTCCTGTGGTAGGATGAGAGTTCTCTTGTGAGCAGAAATATGTAATTCACTTAACACTTAAGCGCCTTTAGTGTGTATTCTTTGTACAGGTATTTTGTATAAAGACTATTTCATTTCCATGTACTCTAGAATCTTCTGCTGCTTTGGACAGAGAAACCTTCAAAGGGAAATATTTTAACTGCCTGTGAAAAGGAGAATGTACTTGTATTTTGAAGCAATTTATTGATGTTTTTCTTCACAGAATATGCACATGTATTTCTTGTCTAGTGTGTGGGAGGAATAACCCAAGAAATAATTACGTAAGGATTTTATTTATAGTTCATGTATTCCTTAGACAACCAAATTTCCTCAAGATAATTTAGACAGCTGTAAAGGTCATTATATAAAAAGAATAAGATAAGAATATACAGGTAAATGTGATATGTAAGTATTACACTTTGAGGTCAGTTTTGCAGGTCTGCTTGAGTAGTCTGAGGCATCTCAAGAAAATATTGTTAAATAAGTTCCACTGAATCCATCTCACAATTAATTTTTTTTTTCCTTAGATTCACAACATATAACTATACCTAAAATACTAATGATCTACATAGACTTATAATAGACATAGTAATTGATTCTTGTATCACTAACTTACAAAAGATTTGATTTATTTGTTCATTGGAGCTTCAAACTTGAGTACCTGTACTCTCATAATAAGGTAGCAATACTTGTTTTATCACAGAGACAAGATGTTCATACACCTTTTCTTCTGTAAGAAGATATTTGTTCTTTCAGTTTGAAAGAATCTTATGGGGAAAAAACCACTTCTTTTTCATGATGCGAATTGCTTGCCCAAGCATCTTGTTCCAAAACAAACGCTTTTCACATGAAGCACACTTTTGGCGGGATAATAGCTATTTTTACAGTAGCAGTTTAGAGAAACAGGGATCTGTATAACCCAGTAAGTATTATAGATCTTACAGAGGTTTCTGGTTTGTGCATAATACAATTTTAAGACCTAGAAGTATTAGTTCATTTGCATTTACTCCTCTTCAACATCACCTGGACTGAAATATATTATTTCAGTGACATCAGAATGGTTCAAACGGCAAATGTTATAAAATTAGGCCAGTGTTTCTGTGTAATATGAAACACCACTTTCTTTACAGTTAGTTGATTTTAGTTATGAACACTGTTTCTGTATCTTTTATCACAGAGGTACATTTCAATGGAAGATGCTAATTGTAGTCACTCTTTTGCTATACAAAACAGTACAAGTACCTGACTGTCTTTTGTGTGTTACCTGTTATTTTTCCCTGTATTATTGGAACTGTATTTACACAGATAATCAGATGATACATTGCACAATGTTGCATAGGAGGGATTTTCTATGTGGCTGTCTATTCAAAACTTTTTTGTGCATTACATTCTATTGAGTGTTTTCTCTCCAACATCCATAATTCTAAATATGAAACTAGCTAATAAATTAGTTATATAAATACACTAAATGTAAAACCTCATTTATAAAAAGAAGGATTTTGTCTTTGTATGTGATATGTAAGAGAAAGCAGTGTCAATACTTGCCACAAAATAGTACTGCAGTAGTAATTGCATATCCTGCTTGTAAAGGAAACAAATGTGGTATCCTTGAATCTGTGTTCAAATAAAACTATTTTTACATGCATTTAAATAAATTAATTAGGAAATACGTGCACAAGATCACTTTCACAGATCAAAAGCTTGGTCTGAGTTTATATTGTCGTTCAACTTCTGATCTGGCATGGTTTATATTCCTGATACTCCAGTTTAAATAGTTGGGAAGATCTTGAATGTAAGAACAAGTTAAAATTGGAATTTATTTATAGCTATTTATATTGCTATGGGGTTTTATACTTAGCTGCTTATATTCAGTATAGATTTTTCTTTGTATTTTTCATTTAGTAATTAACTGAATTGTCCTGCAAGCCTTCCTGGTACAGAGAAAAATCCATTTGGATGCTTGCATTATCGTGCAGTAGTTATACATATTTAGAAAAATGCTTGATGTCTTTTCTGTGTAGGTGAACGGGGGGAATCTTGATTTCAAAATGTGCAAATGCTAATAGCAAGGGAGAAGTGGAGAGCGGTTTTCTGAAACAAGTTGTTCTGGTCGCAGTGTGCTTATTTTAATAAAGTAATTATGACATTATCATCCCTTCCTTGCCATAACATTTCTCCCTCAAAGTCCACCAGCCCGTGTTTCCTGGCTCTCATGAGAATCCCAACAACCTTATCTGAAATACGAACGTATCTCTCGAAGAGTTCCCCAAAAGTGACTTGGATCTTGCCGTCTGGCCGTGGCTTAGCCATTGACTCAATGATGAAGCACATATCCCTCATCTCGCGGTGGATATGGGCCTCAGCTCTCTTGGCTCTTTCGGCAGTTTTGGTTCCTTCCTTTGGATGGCCGTAGCCTTCATCTCCTTTGTGCAGGCGTGTGGACATGGCCAGCTCCTGGTCAAATTCCTCACTGAAGGGATTCAGCTTCTGAGTTATGATGTGCTGGTCGGCCCATTCTTGCCATCTGTCCCTCAGGCTGTTAACAGGGCTGTATTTCCTGTGGGCTTTGGTGCGTGCTTCTTCGCTGAACCTGCTTGCGCTGAAAGAAACAAAAAGGGAATTTGAGCTTTGCGTTTCATCATTTAATCGCATAACTCTGCTACTAATCTCTTAACTTGGTTACAGTGCTTTTCCAGACGAGATGCTAGCCACCAGGTGGCACGAGTTCACTGCTTCTAAATTAGTTCTTTGGGGGCTTTTAGTCCCTGATCCAGTTTGCATTCAAAAGCAAATTCGCTGGTCACAGCTTGATCCCATCTACACTACCACTCTCCAGCCTAGATTTGAGCCCATTTTGACAAACTTTTGCTCAGAATGACTTAATTCTGTATGGGGGTAAGACAGTACGTGGCTGATTACCTGTACTTTCTATACCTTTGGTCAGTCACACAGCTCCCCGTTTCTGCCTGCCTAGCAGAGCCTGAAATCTGCCTGCCCTGATGGTATAGACGACAATAACTGTAAGTGTATGAGCTGGGTCCTCATCTATTCTTGGCTGAAAAACAGAGGGTAGCGTCTACAAAAATCTGTCCCCTGTAATAGATGTCAATGTTTAAAACAACAGCAAAAAGCTAATGGAGTGCAGTACCATTGCCTATGCTTGTATATTTGAAGTATGGTTCTGAACAAGTATTGAAGTCCAAAATTCACATTCCTACTGGCAGGGTAAAAGCCTGAAAGAAACTTATGGCTACTGAGATTTGTGTCAAGGTTGAAGGATGAGGAAAGACCTTCAGAGATCTTACTGTTGGGATGGGGGTGGAGTGTGCGTGTGCATAGCAGCATCATATTGCAAGCAGACAAATTGTTGATACTCTTCCCTCTAGTCACCCATCTCCTGTGTTGTGGGGAAGCTATAGATAATCATCTGAGCTGTCTTTGTGCTGTCCACATCCTTTCATTGTGTCTGTACAGAGCTCAGCTGCAGAGTGTGTTGTGCTGTGGCTGTGCCCAAGTAATTTGTTTTCTAGTATTTTTACTCCCCAGAAGGCTGCACTGAAACCTCCCCAGTAATGTCAACTGAATATTAACAGTAACACCAAAGAATCAAAATATGGTTAGCAAAACAGCACAGAGGACTGCAACCTGCAGAAAAATTTGTTTCCCTGCTGTTAGGGCATTCCTTTGTTCTCTACTAAGCCTGTCAAAAGAGAGAATAGGAGTGATAGAGATGTCCCCAGTTCAGGTCTGTGCACCAGAAAGATGCCGGTACTGGGCAGCACTATAGTGCTAGAGTAAGAAGTGCAGACACGTAGTGCCAGGGATAGAAGAAGGAATAGGAGAGCAGGACCACTCTTTTAGCTGTGGAGTTGCCGTTAGCTTGGCTTAGCTGTACTGAGAAACTGTATTTTAAAAGCTCCAAAATACTCTTACCCATCAATATGGTGAAAAATACCAGAATAATTCAGAATATAGCGTTGCCAAGTAAATGTGCCTTTCTTCTGTGCTGTGACTGCAGAGCATCCTGAGAGTGGGCAGTGTGTATGTACCTGTGGTTTTGTGCATGTAAGTGATTAACAGGTAGGTGTTGGCAGGAAAGCATTAAAAATATATCAGTGGAGCAAAACTAGACAATTTTGTTTTCCGACAGTAAACCAAATCTTCCTGTATATAAGCTGTTGTCATACAGAGAAAGAGAAAGCTGTGGTCCTTTGCCCCTTGCCCTGAATTGTGGCTTCATTGCCCAGAGGAACTGTGGGCACAGGGTTTGGTTATGCAAAGCAGTTTCTCCTGAAACCTACAGGTCTCCCAAAAGTCATAAAAACCCTGTGCCAGCACAATGTTAACTCTAGCTGAAGCTCAGATTGATTGCTTCCTCAGCTCTTCATGTGGGAAGATATCAGTGAATGGCCAGAGGTGAATCCCAAGCGAATCAAAAATGCCTAGAAGAAGTGATACCAACACAGCCTCAGTGGAGCTGATGAGCAGATCCCACCACAGAGAGCTTATCCCTCTGCCACAGCCAGCTGCTCCCCCTTCTCTCCGAGGGCCATGACTCCTGAGAAAGTCCTAGAGCTTCAATTCCCAAGGTTGAGGGGAAAGAAGACAGTAAGTGACATAGCATAACTCTGTAGAGGCTTTGTTGTCTAGTAAGTCTTCTCTGCTTTGCCTACTGAAACCTTTAATTCTTTTTTCTAGCTGAGTACTATTATCACCTTTGTTATCCAAATCATCTCAGTGTTTAAGAAAAACACCATCTTATCTATCCTTTTGCTTTTATTGTTCCCCATATGGGAACCTTACTGTTACTACATATCTTTTTTTAATGCATCTTCTAATTTAACTGTTTCTGGTGGCTGAAGTGCTTTTTTTTCCCATTGTATAGCTTAATGACAAGTTAACGCAGTAAACTGTATACACATAGAGTTTTTCATGTTTGTACCGTACCAACACAATGGTTTGTGGATCGAAAGCGAAGGTTGTGAATGTTAACCCACTGTAAGAAATGCTTTACCTGTAGCAATCAACTAAGTTAGCCTGTTAACCAGAATGATCACCCTAAATTCATTCTGAACATCGAGGAGGACAATGTCCATGTCCTATGTTCCCTCTGATCCTTTCTTTAGGGGAAAGGCATGGATCCCTTTTTAATGTTCTGACTTTCCTATCACTGTTGCATCCCTTTGGCTTCTAATCAGAAATGAAATAGAGTTTCCTATGCCTGTAGGAGTTAATGTGCCTTCTGCTAAGGAAGCGATCTTATTCCAGTAAATATTGCAGCTGGAAATTATGAAGGTGCTGATTGAGTAAAAAAAAAATATATATATAGTGGCACTGATGCTTTTTTCACTGGAATACATAGAAGAAAATGGGAGATTTGCTTTAACAGCCATGTAATTATGGCCTTTTTGAAGAAGATTAAGCCACACTGAAAGGTTCATTAAGTTAGAAGGCTGAAATAATGTATTCTGAGGCTATAAAATAAATTTAAAAAAATGAGTAGTTAAAAAATCCAGTCCTGATAACAACACTAAATGCAGAAGATTATTTTTGTGTCAGATTTCAGTGGAAGAAAAAGCTATAAGTAACATAGAAGGTGTTATTTCAATCGTTTGCACCTCAGTAAATATCTGTAACTGTTTTTTTCCTAGGTAGCAGCACTAAAATTAGACAGGAAAATATATGTCAAGTTTAACAGACAGCTATCTACTTTGTTTCTACTATAGCTTTTTTTAAAATGAGCAATTTATTGTAATTTAGGTTATTTACAGATAATATCTGCTGCAAATGTATCCTCTTTTCCCACTGTATGTGTGAAATCTTTGTTTTGAGGTCCTAACTTCTTTAAAAGGATGATGCACACAACCTCTCCCAAAAGCGGGGGCCACAAATTTTCAAACTCGAGGTTTCTGGAGAGCTTTGTTTCACTTTGGCTAGTATCCAATTGCTCTTTGTGGGAGATGACTGATCAACTGTACAGCAAAACATCGCTCTAATCCCCAGTGTGAATAGTTAAAATAGCTCTGTGTGTTCAGATGGCTGTGCTGAAAAGTACCGTATGGTTGAAATCCATGACTGCGTTAGTCATAGTCTGACACTGATCATGGTAAATGCTCGTCAGCAGTGAGGTGTAAAACCAGGGCAGTGGGAATGGTACAACCTGCCTGCCTGTCTGCAGAGGGATCACAAAAGCTGTTTGGGCATTTTTATCAGTCCTGGTCCCATGTTTCATTTCTGAAATGGCAATTAGGATATGGTATGAACATACTGGCCTTGATCCTCTGATTCC